GGCTCTGCAGCTTACCTGGCTGCTTCTTGCTCTGACTGAGGGCTGCTGGGAGCAGGGGGTGGGGCCTGTTGCATGTGCCCGCCCCCTGGGCTCTTTACTGCCGGAGCTCCGCTCAGTCCAGTGGCACCTTTAAGACCAAGTTTTATTCAGGTACAAGCTCTCCCTCCTCTGTGAGGACTGATCTGCACGCCCCCCCCAATAGCTAGCAATCCAAAACAGCCCAGTGGAGCTGAACGGTGGGTGTTGCCTTCTGACACACTTCCGGTGATGTCAGGGGGTGTGGCATATGCACATAAGTTATGCTAAGGAGTTATGCTAATGAGCTCCTGCACCTCTTTTTCTACGAAATGACCCCTGCTCCAAGGGAAGGGTGGGGTATAAACCCAACTCTTCTTCTTCCTCTTCTTCAGAGCTGAAGTAAGCTAGAGGGCTTACCGGCCCAGGCTCCAACCTAACAAAGGACCAATGTTCCCTCTAAGCTGCGTTAGTGTGAGCTAGCTCACAGTTTTTTAACCTCCGGCTCACACATTTTCGTCTTAGCTCAGGAAGGATGGGGCTCCAGAGCTCTGATTTCAAAGGCTTTCCCTCTCCTCCCCCTGCATGCTTGGAGATATGGGTGCCAACACACACACACACACACACACACACACACACACACAGAGGCAGGAGGGGGTTTGTCAGTGCCCAGACGGAACCTAGAACAACAGGGAGCTAGGATCGTGAAAGGAACCAATGGACTTGTAGTCGCACTGTAAATAGCCTGTCACAGGTCGTGGGTGGGGTGTTGTGTTGTGCACGGATTGAAGCGGGGCTTCGGCCCGGCTAGTTTGTCTTGTAGCTGAGCTGAATCCCTGAATAAAGCATGAGCCGGTCACTTCACACGCCTCGAACCCAGTACATTTCAGGGTTGCTGCTGCTGAAGGACTCAAAAGGAACCGAGTTCAAGGTACAGGCACTTTATTGGGGCTCGGAACGGCTGCCTGGCTGACCGAGGCAGCGGAGCACATCACGGCCTCGCTCTCCTCCTGCTCCCGTCTGGGAAGGGGGCTGCCCAGGGTCCCCGCGGCCAGAATGGCGCTTCGCCCCTCAAGCGGGAGCCCTCGGCCCCCGCCGATGCCCCCAAAGGCCCCCGGAGCCCAGGATCCGGCCCACGACACTCTCCTCTCGCCCGAAGGTGGCGGTTCTTCGGTGGTCAACTTCCCGCCGGGGAGGCTTGCAGGCGCAGCGTATACAAGAGCGAAGTGAAGGAGAGGGAGAGGAAGACGCAGAAGGACGAGGTGAAGCCCAGCCAGTCCACGAGGCTCCCCACCAGGGTGCTGAAGAGCAGCTTGCCTAGGACTTCCAGCGTGGCCAGGAAGCTGTAGTGGGTGGCCTGGAGGAGGAGGAGGAACGGACGGTCGTGAGCACAGCGGGAAGCGGCTGGCGGGCCAGGGCTCGCGGAGTGGCTCTCTAGGGTTGGGCCACTCTGTGCTGGGGAATTCCTGCAGACTGGGGGGGATGGAGCCGAGAGAGGGCAGAGACCAAGTAGGGCCCTATGCCGTAGATGTGACCCATCAAAGGGGCCTCTGTCTCCAGGGGGACTGACTTCCGTCTTTTGGAGGCCAGTAGTAATTCCGGGGGGATCCCCCGGCCTCACCTGGATGTCAAATACAAAAACTGAGGGTCACCATTGTTAGGGAGACAAACAAAAATATATATCACTGTGTACCAGGGGTCATTTCCTGCGGGAGCACACAGGAGCGGAGCTCCGGCAGTAAGGAGCCCAGGGGGCGGGCACATGCAACAAGCTCCCAGCAGCCCCCTGCTCCCAGCAGCCCTCAGTCGGGCCACGAGGAGCAAGAAGCAGCCAGGTAAGTTGCAGAGCCCCCCCTCGGTCCGCCTTCAGGTACAAGCTCTCCCTCCTCTGTGAGGGCAGATATGCGTGTTCCCCCCCCCCCCCCAAAACATGACCCCCCCCCCCCCAATAGCTAGCAATCCAAAACAGTCCCGTGGAGCCTGAGCGGTGGGTGTTGCCTTCTGACACACATCCGGTGATGTGCAAATAGGTTATGCTAATGAGCTCCTGCACCTCTTTTTCTACAAAATGACCCCTGCTGTGTACAATAAATATATGCTTTCAATGCTCTATCTAAGCTGTGGAGTCTTGTGAGAAAAAGTTTTACTTGGTGAGCTACTGGCATTAAAGTTGTGAGCGAGCGATTTGGCCGCTGCATAAATTAGTCTGCTCTGGAGCCCCATCCTTCCTGAGTGAAGACAGAAATGTGTGAGCCGGAGGCTAGAAAACTGTGAGGTAGCTCACACTAACTCTGCTTAGAGGGACCACTGCTTACGTTAAAGCAAATGTTATCCTTTATTCTTTTTCTTTTTATATTTTTCAATACTATTGTCTAAATACTGGTATCAAATATTTTCAAAAATATATTCCACCCAAACAATACATAGAGAAAAATATGTTTCACCCAAACAATACATCAAGGGCAGGTTTACAATTAAAGAATACATCGAGTGCACTCGATATATTGTTTGGGTGAGACCTATTTTTCTCTACGTAGTGTTTGGGTGGAATATACTTCTGGTAATATTTGATACCAATATTTCGACAACAGTATTGAAAAATATAAAGCCAGTGTGAGCCAGTGTTCCCTCTAAGCTGAGTGAGTGTGAGCCAGCTCACAGTTTTTTAGCCTCCGGCTCACAGATTTTTTTGTCTTCGCTCAGGAAGGATGGGGCTCCAGAGCCAACTAATTTATGCAGGAGCCAAACCACTCGCTCACCATTTTAATGGCAGGAGCTCACAAAGGAGAATTTTTGCTCACAAGACTCCACCGCTTAGAGGGAACATTGCCGTGAGCATATATTCATTGTACACAGTGATATATATTTTTGCATGTCTCACCCGAATGTTGGAAACTCTACAGCCCTCCCAGGGCCCGAGAACGTCGCCACCGGTCATCCTAAAATTTCGAACACAAGGTGTTGCCTAGGAATGGGACAAGATGATTCTCCGGGTCCCTTCCAAGGCGGAGATTAAATCAATGGAACCAGGGCACTGTCGCGAGGCAAGCAAGGGCGGCTACCTGTATGCTCTCGTCCGCCTTCTGGGTGCAGTGCATCATGAGGCTGAACGTCAGCGTGGTCACCACCCCGGCAATGAAGTGCTGGGTGCACAGGCTCACCACCGCAGCCGCTGCAAAGAGAGAAAGGGAGGGAACGCAGCTAGCCTGGAGGTGGCCGCAGGGGAATGGCCTCGGCTTGGCTTGTGAGACGCTGAGGGAACGGGGCTTGAAAAAGAAGAAGAAGAAGAAGAAGTGCCCAAGGTCATCCAGCAGGTGCAAGTGGAGGAGTGGGGAATCAAACCCGGTTCTCCCAGATGAGAGTCCGCGCACTTAACCACTACGCCAAACTGGCTCTCGAGGGGGGCAGCCTCCCTTCTCCACGGCTGAGCGACCTCTAATGCTTGTGTTTGTTCAAATGTGCCTACATAGTTCTGTCTCTGATGCGGGACCTGAATGCTTGGCGAAGTCTGTTTGCACGATGTGTGACAAAGAGCATCCAAAGTTGCAAGCCTGGCCCGGACCCTGGGTAGCCCAGGCAAGCCTGGTCTCTTCAGATCTTGGAAGCTAAGCAGGGCCGACCCTGGCAAGTATTTGGATGGGAGACCTCCAAGGAAGACCAGGGTTGGGCGGCCGGAGGCAGGCTATGAAGCCACTTCTCTGAAAGTCCTCCGTACCCCAGTAGGAGTCGCCAGAGACCGCCATGACTTCCAGGCACAGGCGCACGCACACACAAATGCAAAAATAACAAAAAAGGAAAAGAAGAATACAACGCTGCAAGCGTGCACATGGGGCCAGTTCCAGATGCCCCCCCCGAGGCAGCCTCCCAAAGAATTCCCTAGCTATGGGGCTGACCCCACATGACCTGCCTGGGGGTCCCTCCCTGCCCCGCCCCCACGCCCTCCTGCTGCCCACCCTCACAGTCCTCTGCTCTGCCTGCAGCCCTTCTCCTGGGGGCCCTGGGCCGTGTGTGTGGCTGGAGGCGTGGCTGGTAGTTTGGTGAAGCCCTCCCAAGTGTGCAGGCAGGGGGCTCAGGAGAGGACTCTAATCTGGGAGAACCGGGTTTGATCCCCCCACTCCTCCACTTGCACCTGGCTGGATGACCTTGGACAAGCCGTAGTTCTGATAAGAGCTGTCCTTGAAAAAGAGCAGTCCTCAAAAGAGCTCTCTCGGCCCCGCCTACCCCACAGGGTGTCTGTTGTGGGGAGGGGAAGGGAAAAGGAGTTTGTAAGCCGCTCTGAGACACCTTTGGGTAGTGAAGGGCGGGGTAGGAATCCAATCTCTTCTTCTCTGAGAGCCAGTTTGGTGTAGTGGCTAAGTGCGCTGTCAGGGAGAACCGGGTTTGGTTCCCCACTCCTCCACTTGCAGCTGCTGGATGACCTTGGGCAAGCCGTAGCTCTGACAAGAGCTGTCCTTGAAAAAGGGCAATTTCTGTCAAGAGCTCTCTCAGCCCCATCTACCCCACAGGGTGTCTGTTGTGGGGAAGGGAAGGGAAAGGAGTTTGTCAGCCGCTCTGAGATACCTCTGGGTAGTGAAGGGCGGGGTAGAAATCTAATCTCCTCCTCCTCCTCCCCCACTCCTCCAGTTGCACCCACTGGATGACCTTGGACAAGCCATAGTCCTGTCAGAGGTGTTCTTGAAAAAAAGAGCCATTTCTGTCAAGAACTCTCTCAGCCCCACCTGCCTCACAGGGTGTCTGTTCTGGGGAGGGGAAGGGAAAGGAGTTTGTAAGCCGCTCTGAGACTCCTCTGGGTAGTGAAGGGCTGGGTATGAATCCAACCTCTTCTTCTTCTTTTACCTCCCAGGGTGTCTGTGGTGGGGAGGGGAAAGGAAAGGAGTTTGTAAGCCGCTCTGAGACTCCTTTGGGTAGTGAAGGGCGGGGTATAAATACAATCTCCTCCTCCTCCTCCTGTGGGCCCCATCAGAAGCCCGGGGCCCTGAGAGCTGCCCCACCGCAGGGTATGCTGACGCCTGCCCTGGACGCACCTGCAGATGTGCAGGCAGGCTGTGCAAAAGTCTCCTGTGGGATGGCAATGGAAACTTCTGAGCATGGAATGGTGTCCCGGCCCTGTCCCCCCACCATCCTGACAGCTTCCACTGTTAGTCTCCTCCTGACCCATGATGCCACCACCCCCACCTTCTACTCTCCTGTTGTTTTTTTAAACTAAGGGGGTGAAGGAGAAGAGCTCAGGCTCCGGGACCTCTGGGAGCAGGTCTTGGGGAACAAACCTGTCTCCACCTGAATGCTCCCTCTAAGCTGGGGAGTCTGGTGAGCAAAAACTATCCTCGGTGAGCTACTGGCATCAAAGTTGTGAGCGAGCGATTGGGCTGCTGCATAAATTAGTTTGCTCTGGAGTAGAGATGTGAAGGCCCGGGAAAAAACTGGGGAAAAAACCATTTTTCTCCCGAAGCCTTTTTTGTTTTTTTCCAAAAAATTGGAAAAATTGAAAAATGGAAAGGAAAAAAACATGACTATGGAACGTTTTATTTTAACATGATGAATAAAATATTTTAAGACAAGGTGTTCAGATATTTTCCAAATCATTTCTAAAAATTACGTATGGTATCTGGTCTAATTTCTGTGCCCTGAGGACAAGCAAGTCCTAGGTTACCAACTGAACTCTCCAACGCGAGAACAAGATGCATTTCTTCCTTTAGGAGGTGCTATTGTCACACGCATTTCTTCCTTTAGGATGTGCTATTGTCACACGAAAAGAAAAAGGTTTCAGTTTTGTTTTTGCATGTGGGTGGGTATTCTGTTTGTAATAACAGTTTGGATACACTATATTTTTAATAGGCTAGTTGTGATAATTTCATGCCAAGTAAAAATGTCCATAGTCATATTTTATGTTCCTAAAGTAACAGAATGACTTTCAATCTGGAAAAGGAAAAAGAAGTGCTAATGTAGCATATTTTTTCAATTTCCCCAAAAACTTCCCTTTTTTCCTGAAAAAAACCAGAACAAAATTGGGTTTTTTTTTCTGAGCTTCAAAATTTCCTGAAATTTTACATCTCTGCTCTGGAGCCATCCTCCCTGAGCTGAGACAAAAAAATGTGTGCGCCAGAGGCTAAAAAACTGTGAGCTGGCTCACACTAACTCAGCTTGTAGGGAACACTGCCTGAGACCCTGGAGAGCTGTGGCCACTCAGAGGAGACAGGGGGAGACCAGGCCTCTTTTTCTGGTCCAGATGCCCAGGAGGGCCGGCCTCTGGCCTCCTGAACAGTCGTAGGGGAGAGGGACCAGAAAAGCCGCACCGACTCAGCTTCCCTCTTTCACCGGGCAGAGCTCACCTTCAAACACGGACACTTTGTCTTTGTAGAGGGCCGTCAGCAGCGTCTGGAAGAACAGGCCGCAGACGCGGAGCGACAGCAAGCCCTTCAGCAGTGCCAACGGGTGCCTGGCAAGAAGAAGCCACAAGGGGGGGGGGGGTTTGAGGGAGTCATCAGGCAGGGCGACAAAGCCCAGGAACTTTGTGGCCGACTTCGCGGACTGCAGGAGGTTCTGGGCATCTCTCTGTGGCTTGTGCGCACGGAAGCTCATACCCTGAATAAAACGTTCTTGGTCTGAAAGGTGCCACCACCAGACTCAAGCTCGATAGACTCGAGGTTTCATCAGCTGAGACCTTACACCTCTCGTATTCTTCCCCTGTGACTTTCCCCTGCTCCCTCTTTTCTTTCTAACTTGCATCATTTTGTCGAGTCTATTGAGCGCTGTGCCGGCAGAAAGACGCGAGGCCCATTGACTTCACAGGAAACACCTTTAATGAGTTGCTGCTCACTGCATAATGAAAGGAGATCTACTTTTCCCTAACAAGATTTCCTTATTGTCTCAAGGTTGTTTTTCCTTACTGAGTTCAGCCTCCAGGTGGGGCCTGGAGATCTCCCAGAGTTACACCTGGTCTCCGGGCGACAGAGATCAGTTCCCCTGGAGGAAATAGCAGCTCTGGAAGGCTCCTCCCCTCCTCAAACCCCGCCTCCCAAATCTCCAGGTATTTCCCAACCCGGAGCGGGCAACCCTAGCCTAGGGGACAAGTATTCAGAATCCCGTGTCTTCTCTTGGAAAGATCTAGTTCTCAGTATGCCTCGTGGAGATATTGAATGCTGTGCAACAGGCCCGTAGCCAAGATTTTGTGGCGCATGCGGGGAGGGCGGGGTATAAATGGAATTAAATAAATAAATTAGAACCTAAGAGAAGCCCATGTTGGATCAGGCCAGTGGCCCATTCAGCCCAACACTCCATGTCACAGAGTGGCCAAAAACACCAGGCAATTTTTTCCCCGGTGGGGCTGAAGTTCTCAGCACAGAAAGAACAGCCATTTAGCCAACACAGTGCTGTTAGCAGGATAGATCTCTAAACTGCAGGCTGTCAGCCACTTTAGATGGCCGTTCTCAGCTGCTGCAAGTTAATCACTTCCGCCGGCCTAAGCAGCAATCCGGAGAACAGGGGTGGTGGTGGCAGCTTGATGACTTCCACAGTCAAGAAAGCTAACACTTGGGCAGAAAAACTCTCTCAAAGGAGATCAGTTTCTTGACCCAGAGTCAGAAGGGATCCTAGAGGTCACCTACTCCAACCCCCTGGCTCAGTGCGGGAATTAGTCAACAACAGCACCCCGCTCTGCTTAACATAGCGCATGCCTTTAAAAAAAAGTTTTGAAAGATTGAAACAAGCGTTTACAAGAGACATTCTGGTGGGGCTGTGCCTTTACGAAAGGGGGCAGAGCCCCCCCCAAAGCCCCACCATCGCTACAGGCCTGCTGTGCAACAATACTCTGGAGGAAGACTGGTGCCACTGACCCACTGAAGCTACCGGAAAGGGCCTCTCTCTCCCGAACCCTGACCAAAAACCCAGGTGGGAGGAAAGGGGGAAGCTGCACAGAGACAAGGAAAGCCGGGGCCCTTCGGTGATCCGTTACCTCTGCCTTGCCATCAGGTGGCCGCCCAGTGAGGAACCGGCGATGGAGAAGAGCGTGGCCACGATCCCGTTCCAGAAGCCGAGCTTCTGAGGAGAGAAGCTGCGGTCCAAGAGGAAGAGGGGGAACATGGAGGTGGCCCCTTGTTCACCTGCAAGGAGAAAGGAGGGCCAGCTGGAGTTGCCAGCCTCCAGGCGGGGCCTGGGGACCTTCTGGAATGACAACACGTATCCAGACTTCAGAGGTCCGTCTCCCTCGGCAAAATGGCTGCTTTGGAGGATGGACTCTGTGACATGTTACCCTCCCCAAGTTCCACCTGTAAATCTCCAGGGATTTCCCAACCTGGAGTTGGCAACCCTAACAGACAGGAGTAGAGTCCTTCAGGTGGGGGCAGGAAAACATCTGGGCTGCAATAGGAGATCTCCTGCTATTACAACTGATCTCCGGAGGCAATAGAGATCAGTTTCCCTGGAGAAGACAGCTGCTTTGGAGGGTGGAACCTGCAGCACTGTACCCTGCTCAAGTCCCTCCCCTTCCCAAACCGCACCCTCCCCGGGCTCCACCCCTAAAATCTCCAGGTATTTCCCCACCCGGGACCAGGGCTCCCTCTAAGCTGTGGAGTCTTGTAAGCAAAAAATTCTACCTTGTGAGCGACCGGCATTAAAGTTGAGAGTGAGCGATTTGGCTACGGCAGAAATTCGTTTGCTCTGGAGCCCCCCATCCCTTCCTGAGCTAAGACAAAAACGTGTGAGCCGGAGGCTAAAAAACTGTGAGCTAGCTCACACTAACTCAGCTTAGAGGGAACACTGGCAAGACCAATGCTCCCTCTAAGCTGTGGAGTCTTGTGAGCAAAAATTCTACTCTGTGAGCTACTGGCATTAACTACTGCATAAATTAGTTTGCCATGGAGCCATCCTTCCTGAGCTAAGACAAAAATCTGTGAGCCGGAGGCTAAAATACTGTGAGCTCGCTCACACTCACTCAGCTTAGAGGGAACACTGCAATGCTCCCTGAGCTGAGAAACATCCAAAATCATAAACAAGTGCAAAAAGAGGCTTCATCTTTACTCACAATATTGTTGACTCGACCTTGGAATTAGATGTATCTAACTTTATAAGAACTGTTGATCATATGACTATTTATAGAGCTATGCAACACGCAAAAAAATGAAACTGCAGCTCTAAAAGGTATATATGGTCCCATTCGGATGGAGACTACGAAACGACTTTGTAATCCGGAAAACTTTGTTAACGTCACTGTTTGGACCTCTTCTTGCACTTGTTTATGATTTTGGATGTTTCTCATTATGTAAAATATATTTACTGCAATCACTGATTTTGTTAATATTACCTAGCGGATACACACAGCTTTCGTTGTTCTTCTCTAGTGTTACTGGAGCTGTGGCTCTCTGTTTTTATACCAAATCAGACCATCGGTCCATCAAGGTCAACACTGTCTACTCAGACTGGGAGTGACTCTCCAGGGTCTCGGGCAGACGGCTTCCACATCACCTCCTGCCTCGTCCTTTCCACTGGAGATGCCGGGGATTGAACCTGGGACCTTCTGCACGCAAAAGCGGATCCACTGACACGGAGCCACGGCCCCTTCCCCTGCCACCACAGATGAACATTTGTTCTCCGGCCGGTTCTGCCGTTGCTAACCTCGAGAGAGGCTTACCTATCTTATAGATGAGCACGAAGCCAGCGGTCCAGGGGGTTCCCGGCACCTGGAGCAGCCCCCGCAGGATCCGCCAGGGGTTGAAAGTCCGGCTCCGGGCCTGGCCCTCCCGCGAAGGGCGCTGCAGCCGCAGATCCGCGCGCCAGGTGTACAGAATGGCCAGCAGGTAGACGGCGGCCAGGGACCAGAAGAGCGGCCCCCAGCCCAAGAGGTGGAGGAAGGAGAGGAGGCCCCCTCCCGCCGCCACCGAGCCCAGCTTGTAGGCCACCACCTGGACGGTGTTGCCGTAGCCCACCTCCTCTTCCCCCAGGAGCCAGACGGCCACCCCGTCCACGGCCACGTCCTGGAGGGAGGCGAAGAAGTTCATGCAGAGGAGGGCGGCGGCCACGGGGAGGAACTGGGCCTCGGGGGTCAGGGTGGAGCAGGCCAGGCAGGCCAGGGCCAAGCCCCCCAGGCTCAGCACCAGCCAGGTCTTCTTGGTCCAGTACTGGTCCACCAGGGGCGCCCACAGGACCTTGAGGATCCAGGGCACGTAGAGCACCTTAGCCAGGCTGATCTTCGTCAAGGAGAGGCCCACCATGCGGAAGTAGATCGGCAGCAGACCGGACTGCAGCCCGTAGGGGATCCCCTGGACGAAGTACAGCAACCCCAGCAGAGCGTATTTGGGGTTCATCCTTCAGCAGTCGGCCGTCGGTCTGGAAGGAATGCAAACAGAGGCAAGCGTCATCGGGGGGGGGGAGGGGCTGTGTCTCAGTGGAGGAACATCTGCTTGGCACGCAGAAGGACCCAGGTTCGATCCCCAGGATCCCCCAGTAAAACATCTGGCAGTTTGGTGTAGTGCAGTGCTCCCTCTATTCCCAGTAGTCATGTATGGCTGCGAAAGTTGGACTATAAGGAAGGCTGAGCGCCGAAGAATAGATTCTTTTGAACTATGGTGCAGGAGAAGACTCTTGAGAGTCCCCTGGACTGCAAGAAGATCAAATCAGTCAATCCTAAAAGAAATCAACCCTGACTGTTCCCTGGAAAGCCAGATAATGAAACTGAAGCTCAAATACTTTGGCCACCAAATGAGAAGGGAGCACTCACTGGAGGAGAAGACCCTGATGCTGGGAAGATTGAAGGTCAAAGAAGAAGGGGACGGCAAAGGATGAGATGGCTAGACAGTGTCATCGATGCAACGAACATGAAGTTGAGCAAACTTCAGAGGATGGCGGAAAACAGGAGGGCCTGGCGAGATCTTGTCCATGGGGTCGTGAAGAGTCGGACTCGACTGTGTGACTGAACAACAACAACAACTCACCAAGTAGACCCTCTGGTTTTGCATCCCAAAGGCCAGTGGTAGGAGGGGCTGTGGCTCAGTGGATGAAAAAACACGAGAAAAAGTTC